TTTAAAAACACCACACATATATGCTTTACCCTCCACTGAAAGCAACAAGGTTGAAAGCATGTCAGCTTCAATTAGAGATGGTCCTACCGGCTCAGGAAAGACAAATAAGAACTGAAGCAAACATTTGCTCATCCCCCAACAAAAAGTATGTTTTAAAGTGTGGATTACAAATAGTCATCCCAGGGACAGCCTCCTTTAAAAAAAAAAAAAACCCACCACGTTTATTACAGTTGTGCTTAGGGGCCAACTGAGAATAGGGCTCCATTGTGCTAGGCTCCATACCAACAGAATAAGAGACAGCTCCTGCCTCTGAGCACTTCCAGTCTAAGGCCACTAGAAAATTCTGCTAGTACAATATAGTAATTTTGGTTAAGGAGTGTGACTTTTTTTATACTGGCAAAAGCCCTGGTGTAGATACAGTCGTACTTGCACAAAAACGCTTTTGCCAGTACAGCTCATTTTGCTTGGGGAACTGGGAAATGTTTTTTTTTGCCACTATAGGCTGCATCTACTCTGGGAGGGTTTGCCGATATAGCTATATATGTAAAGGCAAACCTTTTCTAGTGTAGACTAGGCCTTAACATTTAAATCTAAATCCGCTGTAAGCCTGGCTCCTTCCCCATGCCTCTGAAACCTGTGCCCAATGTACTGGTGAGCTCTATTATTCCACTCACATCATCAAGCAATAAAAAACCCAGCAAAATTATTAAATGATGGGAAGTAAGTTCTGAATTGCTCCATTAGCTATAAATGGTGATTTACTATCCAATGCCAGAATAGCAGAGCACTTGGATCTGTTAGCACATAACTTCGGAATTGCCCACAGTTAAAACAAGATCTGAGTTACAGTTCCTCTAGTTTATACTTGCTCGCAGGCTGAATAACAGCAGTTTAATGGTCCTGAAAGAATTCAAAAGCCTCAGTGGCTACTCCACAGCCATCTGTGACTAGCTTTGAAATGAGAACTGCCAGACACCGGAAAAGCAGTCAGCCACAAGGACAACAATAATACATGTGACAAAAGTTTCTCTCTCCACCTTGTTACCTAGTTTCCAATGCACAGACACGCTGATATTTTTGACCTGTTCATTGTCCTGAGAATTATGAAGAACATTTAAAATTCCAAGGTCTCTTTCCTCTCAGAGATGCTGCTCTCTGCAGAAGCAAGGTCTAGCAAGCTGTTACATCATGCATTAGACAAGTTTTTGCCCTACCATCCCCATTCAAGGTGGGCCAAAGTTACAGTTTAACTTAGGCATGCTTCTAACTTTCACAGAAGTTGCACATGGAAGCAGCCTGGGTCCCTAGAAACATCTGCAGCTCCCCATAAATCCTGCAGCCCCACTTGTTTGGCAATTGTAGTAGAAAGGATGGTGTGGGATGAAGGTGTTTTGACATGAAAAACAGAGACTGGGGTATGTGCGGAAACATTTGTATTCCATTTGTAGCCAAATTTTGGCTGAGAAAATAAAAAGGCAGCAAGCCTGTGTGCATTACTAGGATAAGATGTTCTGTCCGAAGGGTATGTACCTGAATGACGTGCTTCAGTCTTAACAATGCAGACCCAAAGTAGTATGCACCAAAGATTTCAACCTATAAAGTAAGGCCTTAATTGCTTACCTACTTCACAGACAGATTGCAAGATTAGTCATTATGTATAAAATGCTGTGAAGATGAAAAGCACTAGATAAGTGCTCAAGTATTATTAAAACGCTAATACTCTCTGGGCCAGACTGGTTGTTCATTCATTCCAAACTAATTTCGAGTGAACACATTTCATTATATTTTAAATTGAAATGAATTCGGTGTTCCTGAAAATGGACAGCTTGACAGCACAGGAGATAAAAGTTCTATTTATCCACAAACAGATACTGCACAGAGCACAGGCAACAGCACAAGCTTTCCCCACACTGCCCCCAACAATGCACCTGACTCCTATAGGAGTGAGGTGTTCAGTTTTCATAGGCTCTTCAGTCTATCGCCTCTCATGCAATTACTAGTATCTGTGATATGTATCCATGTCCACTAGTAGATGGATTGGGACTCGCCAACTCATTTTATATACTGGTTGCTGAAAAGCTGTGAAAAGGCCAATTTCGGTCACTACTGATCTAGGAGATGAGAAGCTGTGGCTGTAGCTCGTCTTAAGATGATTTGTAGTCTTGGTCTCATCTCTATTCAGGGCAGCAAATACACATTCCTTCATGTTCGGCTGGCCAAAAGGTTGTGTTTTTTTCCTGGCAGATGAAGACCTCACTCCATTCATACCTTTATCATCTCCAGTCCCGACTACTGCAATCCACTGTATCTAGAGCTACTCTACCAGGCAACACAGTTCTTACAGAAGAGCTCTGTGTAGTTTGAAAGTTTGTCTCTCACCAACAGAAGTTGGTCCAATAAGAGATACTACCTCGCCCACCTTGTCTCGCTAATATCCTGGGACCAACGCGGCTGCAACAACACTGTATAGTTTTACTTTGTCAGACATGACAATTAATTTCTGTACCATAAAACGACTGGGTTCTGGGATATACCAGTTTGACCATTTTATGATTGTCATCTTAGATGAAAGCTAAACAGTTTCTTTTTTTTTCTTTTTCTTTTTTTTTTTTGTTAGTTTACATTATGTAAGATGATACCTTAAAAAAATCTTATTTTTAGCCCTCTGGGTGGCAAAGAAACAAAGAATGCAAAGTTTATCTGTGACTTTGAAATCTCTCAAAAAATAGCTCTGAACCAACACTTCCAAATTTTGGGGAAGTTTGGATCAAATTTTATAACCCCAGATTTATTTAATTTCTCTGTCTCATCATGTTGTGAACCATCAGCCCTTTTCTTTATTTTAGTGAGCTTGTGTTTCCACATGGGTTTTGAAACTTTGGAACATGAGGAATTGCATTTATCAAGCCACCTGAAACACACTTCCCTCGCATACTATTTATAGCAGTTGCTCCAGATCCCATTATAAGCCCTATTTTTCCACACACCTCTACTGTCTGCAAATAGAGGCCTATGAGGTTTGAAATTGGCAGCCTATCTCCAAAGCTGAGGAATAATTCTACCACCAAGTTTCACACAAATCAGACAGGGGACTTTGAAGCCACAGACCCCCCAAAATCTAGTAGGATTTAGTGAAATTGCATTGTTTCCAGCTAAGCAATACTCCATTGTGCTCATTCCACTAGAAGCAATTACCCACTGGATCAATAGTGCCTCACAGAACAAAGAAAATCCCACTGAACTGTATAAATAAGAGTCCTGATTTGGAGTTATGGTGGGCACAGAGAAAATGACAGTTTTGTTTGGGAGAGGTAAGGTACTGTGATGTTCCCAGTTCCTTCTAGCATCTCACCTCCTGAAATCAAAGGTATCCCAAAGAGGGCACAGCTAAGGTTCTATAGCTTCTTAGGTGGGAAGTATCATCTTAACTTTACTTTTTCCAGTTCTCCAATGTTTACTCTGCATTTTTAATTGTAAGCCCAACACTCTTGTAAGGGGCACATGAGGACACCTTAACTGCACAGTTTCTGCTCTTCCGGTGCAAGTTTGGGGAATTAAAAGCTCATGCTCAGGAAGAGCACAAGGACCACAGGGAACGATTTTGCCATTGCAACCTCAAGTCCATGTTTACCAAGTTTTTTGAATCAGGGGTTAGCCATGTTAGTCTGTATCCACAAAAACAACAAGGAGTCCGGTGGCACCTTAAAGACTAACCTTTAAGGTGCCACTGGACTTTTTGTTGTTTTTCCAAAAAAATTTTCAGTATGAATCTAAGTCTCTATGAGGCTACATGAAGCATGCATGGCAACCTCATTTATAGGTCTGTGTCTCAAGACATAGTTTGCTAACACGAATCCAGGCAAGTACAGGTTGAGATGTCCATGCTGTTTTGATTGATGAGAATTTCAGTGCTGTCAGTAGCAACAACACACAAAGATTTAGTTACATGTAGCCTTATTATATCAGGCAGCCCCCTAGAGAAGCTTTAGCTTGGTAGAGCATTATACTGGGATCAAAGACCTGTCAGTGTGTCTCCCTGCAAGGAGAGAAAGAGAAGGCAGAGTGCTCAACTCAGCTCTTTTGTTACTGTCTGTGTCTAAAGTAATGAAGCATTACCTCCACCCAGCCAGCATAGGAATCATACAAAGGGTTCTACCTCTCCACCCAGCATGCCCACATGCCCTCAATACGCTCTACAAAGATCCTCGACACCCACTTTACACAACATTATTACATAACAGCATTGTTGGAAGAATCTCCAACTTCCCATGCACCTTCCCTCTCAAAACCTAGTCCCCTTCCCCTGGCATCCTGCCCACCCCAGCCCTAAAGTGGCCTCCCCACCCTCTCCCCAGCCTGCTCTGCAGCTTGTGTTTCATTTCAGCCCAGGTGAGGTCATAAGCAATTTGGGTCAGGACCTCACCTTGTTTTTGCAAAGCACTGAGCACATTTATGGTGTTATATAATAACATGTTTTCTTGCGCAAAGATCACACCCCTGCCTGTGCTTCAGCGAGCTCTACCCAGTGTCTACGAGACACTCGCGCAGGTTGCACCCTGTGAACTAACGTACACGTGGGAGGAAGCGCTCAGAGGGTGGGGGCGCTCAGCGTCCCCAGATGAGGCCAGGCCAGGTTTAGCTGGTGAACGGATACAACTGTGCTCTGCACCCTGCAAGGGAAGAATGTCCCTGAACAAGTCACCAGCTCGGGGAGGAGGAGCAGCCCCAAGGTGCCGAGGGCTGCAAGGATCCTGCGACTCTTTTCTTCCCCCACACCATGCACGGCTGGAGGGAAGGGGCTACATGGACCGCTCCCCCAGCGCGTGACGCCCCGGCGGATATCGCCGCGGACAGCATGGGATGCCCCGGGTCACGGGTGTCCCCCGCCCCCGTGCACTAGGGGCCCTAGAGCCCGGCCTCGCGCCGCGGTAAGGTCCGCGCGCCAGGAGCCCCCGGGGCCCGCCCCGCGCGCTGGGGGGCGGGGGGCGCCCCGCACTCACCTCCTGAAGTCAAAGGGCATGTTGGTGGCGGGTGCGGCCCCTCCCCCGGCCCGGCTCTCTCAGCCTCGCTCGTGCCGGCCCGGCTGCAGGGCCAGGAAGTGATGGGCCGCGAACCGCATCCCCATTGGGCAGCCGGCACCGGCCACGGCAGCCGCTTCCGCCGGCGAGTTAAAGGGCCAGGAGAGGCCGGCCGGCGGCAGGCGGCGCGGCCGGTGCGCGGCCTAGAGGAGCCGCTCCCTGGTCCCGGGCTGGCACTCAGGAGAGCTAGCTGTGCCACTGCCCTGCTGGGGGACCCTGGACAGGGGCCTTCCCGCTCTGTGCCTCTGCCGCCCGCCCTCCTCCGGCTCCGTGTGTACAGGCTGTGTGAGCTCTTCGGGGTAAGCACTGCGTGTTTGTACAGCGCCTAGCACAGGGGGCCTGTCCTCGCTAGGGACCTTTCAGCCCAAACAATAAATACAATAATAATCACTCTCCTTACATAATGAGCTACCACAGGAGTAGTTGGGGCTGCACTGGAGGGAGAGCCTGGGCCCAGTAAACTGCAGCCTGTTTCTGATGGGGATGCTTCAGATCATCTCTGTGTCCAGCAGTAAGTGGAAACTGAGAAAGCAGCTGAGGCTTCAGAGGAAGGTGTACGGATAACCCCAGGCCTTTTGCTGGCTGCGGACTAACTAATCACTGCTTTGGAAAGGGGGTTGACAAAGTGGTCTCACCTACAGCACAAGTTAGATCACAGCACAGAAAAGTATCAGGGGGTAGCCGTGTTAGTCTGGATCTGTAAAAAGCAAGAAAGAGTCCTGTGGCACCTTATAGACTAACGTATTGGACAGACGTATTGGAGCATAAGCTTTCGTGGGTGAATACCCACTTCGTCAGACGCATGGCAGACGTCTGACGAAGTGGGTATTCACCCACGAAAGCTTATGCTCCA